GTGACGCATATTGTGCGAGACCAGAGACCCGTAGTTCACTGAGCAGTTTCACACACAAACATTTGTAACTTCACAGTTTTACGACACATTTTTATTTTTTTGACAATTCAAACGGGATCAAAAGATAACCTTTCTCTCTCCATTGACTTCAATGTATAATTTTCCGCTTCCGGGGTCCCATGGAGGCTTTCGGAAGGGGAGGGACTTCGCCTCTCCTATGAATGAGGCCCCGCCTCCCACGCTGTATCCAGTTCTTATTATACATCCATGGTCCCAACACATCAGACGTTAGCACACACTCAGAGCTCACAGCTCCTCATATCTGTTCAGAAACTGGACAAAAGTTAAACATGTACAAACCACAGACTGTCTGTGTCATGGCGAATACAGTCGCTGCTTTATTTATGTCTGTATGACGTTGTTGTGAGTGTGGACGGAGCAGCTACAGGTTGGTTTACCCTGATGGATCCGATTCCATTCAGAAAACACGCATTTTAAAAGCTTTTCGCCTGCCGTCTTGTCTACAGACTTGTGAAAGCGTTCATTCATGGTTTTTACTAACCGTTATCAGTATGTAGTTGCTTCGGCATCACTTTGAAACATGTATTACAATTAAATCACGGTCAAATATGTTCATTTTGTTGTAGTTGGTATCTCCCATATGATTTACATGGAGATACGCCCCGCCCCCTCTCCAGGGCGTCTTGTTTGAATGACAGGAGCAAACACAGTTTACAGCCGCGGTGAAACTCGAGTAGATCGATGCGAATATAGTCTACCATAGTATTTACATGGAGATAAGCCCCTTAAGGCGAGACACGGCAGGCAAAAACATCGTTTTTCAAGTACTGGTCAATTTTGAGATTTTGTGCTATTTTGATTCCATAACATGTTTTCTTTCAGGCTTTTGGAAGGACAACGTACAAAATACACATTTAAGTGTTTATTTTACTATAGTTTGTCTATTTGCGTCTGTAGATTTCTCCTAAATTCACTAAAAGTTAGCATTCTAACGTAACATAAAGTACCGCGACCGCTGTGTGCACCATGTCAACAGAGGTATCGCTGGAAAGCTCCGTCTCTCCTGCACAATCTCATCGGATCCAAATATGGTCATTTCCTTTGTATAAGCAACCAATCGTGAAAGTACAAAGGGGTCTTAAACCAAGAAACGAAATCTCATTGGCTGGTGTCAATTTCTGACAACGTGATTCGTTCAGATGCGTCACGTGGTGTGCTAAAACACTTCCTGGTTAGCTTTCAGCTAGAAATTGAAATCTCAAAATGCCAAAAGAACGGCGAAAAAAACGTTCACAGAGAAGACGACAACAATTGTCACTTGCACGAAGCAAGGTTATATAAAAAAAAATGACCCTGAACATGAGTGATACCTTCACGGAGTGCGTCGATGCGCAAGCTGTCATTCAAAGAACAGGAGGGTTTAGCTAGCGCCTCACTGCAATCTTTAAAGGTCGTTTTCTCAAAATGAGTTTTTTCTCCTACTCTGAGTTCGAAATTTCAACTTCAGTAGCACGTAGAGACACCAAACCTTCCAGTTATATTCCTATCAATATTATGGAGGCTTTTACTGAAGGGTTTGTTCATATATAATTCATAGCCTGAATTATACAACATTGTATACCTAAAAACATGGCGAAAATGGATATTTTAGGGCTGTTGACAGTATTTTCTGATTTATGGAATGATAAAAAGAGATATCCAATATCCCTTCTGTAAAAGCCTTAGATACTAATATGACTACAAAATGAAACAAGAATTTTGAATCTGGCTATATCCAAAGTTCAGATTTCGATTCCTGAAATGTGTTAAAATATGTGCATATTTAATGAGATTATGGGTAATTTGCATATTTAAACATGCTATTTCAGAAAACTTGTAATACAAAAGACAATTGCCTTATTGTAAGTAATTAACTGGAGACATTTCTAGCTGATACCTTTAAGTTAAAAAAATTTACCCTATTCACCTGGGGTGTCTCGCCTTAAAAACCATGAATTAATAAAGCATTAATTCTGTGTTTACTCCTGTCATTCAAACAAGAGGCTGGAGAGGGGGCGGGGCGTATCTCCATCTCCAAATCGGAATCGGATCGATCAGGCTAAACTAACCTGTAGCTGATCCGTCCACGCTCACAACAACGTCATACATACATAAATAAAGCAGCGACTGTATTCGCCATGACATAGACAGTCTGTGTTTTGTATATGTTTAACTTTTGTCCAGTTTCTGAACAGATATGAGGAGCTGTGAGCTCTGAGTGTGTGCTAACAGCTAACGGCTGATGTGTTGGGCCAATCACGAAGCGTCATTTCTTGACTGGCAGTAAAAACAACCAATCACAGCAGTGTTTCTCTGGCTGGCTCTGTCCAATCACAAACAAGAATTGTTCTCCCTAAGGAATACCCTTTCCGTCCAATGCTGTGGTGTTTTCTGAAATGCTGTGGTGTTTTGTGAAATGCTGTGGTGTTTTGTGACATGCTGTAGCGTTTTGTGAAATGCTGTGATGTTTTGTGAAATGCTGTGGCGTTTTGTGAAATGCTGCGGCGTTTTCTGAAATGCTGTGGTGTTTTGTGAAATACTGCGGCGTTTTCTGAAATGCTGTAGTGTTTTGTGAAATGCTGTGGCATTTTCTGAAATGCTGCGGCGTTTTCTGAAATGCTGTGGTGTTTGTGAAATACTGCGGCGTTTTCTGAAATGCTGTAGTGTTTTGTGAAATGCTGTGGCATTTTCTGAAATACTGCGGCGTTTTCTGAAATGCTGTAGTGTTTTGTGAAATGCTGTGGCGTTTTCTGAAATGCTGTTGTGTTTTCTGAAATGCTGCGGCGTTTTCTGAAATGCTGTGGCGTTTTGTGAAATGCTGTTGTGTTTTCTGAAATGCTGCGGCGTTTTCTGAAATGCTGTGGTGTTTTGTGAAATGCTGTGGTGTTTTGTGAAATGCTGTGGCGTTTTGTGAAATGCTGTAGTGTTTTCTGAAATGCTGCGGCGTTTTCTGAAATGCTGTGGTGTTTTGTGAAATGCTGTGGTGTTTTGTGAAATGCTGTGGCGTTTTGTGAAATGCTGTGGCGTTTTGTGAAATGCTGTGGCGTTTTGTGAAATGCTGTGGCGTTTTGTGAAATGCTGTAGTGTCTTGCACTTCAGGGCCACCGTATGATGGTGATAGAAAAAGAAATCCAGGCGGCATATTTTTCCTAAGACTTGTATATACTTTTGGAAATGAGTAGTGTATAATTAAGTAATCATACACGAGAGGCCGTTCTTGAACGTCATTATTGGTACGACAGTACTGCGGCAGGACCGAGGCGCTTGCGCCGAGGTCCGTACGCCTGTACTGGAGTTCTATGTGTTGTGCAGAAGGCAACGGAGGGACTATTTTATTTTGAACATCATTATTTACTAATAAAAACTATTTAAATTAGAGTGTGTATTTTTCTTTCATATTGCCACACTTGGTAACCGTTTTATAAAAGCAATAGCTCACTTCAGGCCGTGATATATGCTCATTATATCACAGCTAAGGGGGTTGTCGACACTCCGCTTTGCGTCGGGCCGAACCACGCCCCTTAGCTGTGATATAATGAGCATATACCACGGCCTGTCGTGAGCTATTGCTTAATTATATGGGACAGTTTTACATAACAGCTTCCACGTGACCTCAATGACCTCAGCATCTTGTGACATCTTGGGATTCATATTTTTCATCGTAATACATATCTTTCCTGCAAATTGATTACCCAGTGGGCAACATACAAAACCTGTTAGGTTATATGAACGTTGTTTTTGTCTGAAATAATTCCCTACTGTAAGTCTCCTGCTTTTATTGTTGGTGTTTTATAACACTTTGGCATACAGCCTGCTCTGTGATAATATCCATTATCACTCACAGCAATGCGAAAATAAGATTTTGATGTGTGAACACAGCCAGGCACTTTATATAAGGGATCAGTATGCAGCTACAAACACTGTGGACAATACAATCACTTAAGGTAGAACATTACTGGAAGATGTCTAATGCAAAGGCGCAATTTATTTGTTCAAAGGCATGTTCATTCAATAAAGCACAAAAGGTGCCAAAAACTAACCCAAAAATTATTGAGGCGGCCCCTGGGAATTCATGTTACTCTTTGTCTAGTTTGACGCTGCTTGAGGAAGAGCATGGTGCCTTTAAAATATCACCATTAGATTTATTGTTCTTTGGGTATAATCCAATTAAATGTGTAAGAAGTCAAACAGCTTTTATTTCTAGGGACTTTTTTTCTTAGTGTTGTGTATAGCAGCCAGAAAGTGATGTGCTATGGGAAACAGTTGAGTACTTTCCCCCATGCAACAGATGATGTAGCTTCTCACCTGACAGTAGCCTACTACAAAACCTATTACACAGTGCTGCATTATCATTTGTTTATACAACACTTTATACAACGGCAGGCCACTATACATTCTAATACATACTAGAACTGCTTTGATTTGATGTAGCACAAATATACAGTAGTAGACAGTATGAAATAGCATAGCACGTTCCACTTCATTCATTAGGTGAAGGTAGGTTATAGGGTGCCTTGACAATTCTTTCAACAAATAATGACCTACAATTCTTCATTACAACTGTTTTTACTTTGAGGAATTATTTTTTAAAGATAACAAAACATGGTATTTCAGTATAGGCCTACTTATGTCCATATAAACAAACCAAATGTTCTAAGACCAAAGCAGAACATTCATACAAAATATAAGGATATTATTTATTTAATGAAAAGCAAAGCATTAGTAATATGACTATTATTATTATTATTAATATTATTATGTTTTTGTTTTTTTATATAGACAAAAAGCGAGTGTGTTCTGTTGCAATGTGTGACTGTTACTTATCGGCATTACATGCATTGAACGCACCCCTGCACTCAGTTACCATAGGTCTGTTATGCTTTACTTGCAGCCTGTGTGTCTGCATGCAGCCGACATTGGCTCAACGGGTAAACCAAAAAAAAGCTGAGTGAAAAAAAACCTAAGCTACTCATTTTACACTTCACGTTTAAGGTGCAACAACTCGCCTCCTTCTCCATGTTTTGCTTCCTACATGAGAGTAGCAGCAAGTCCAGGAAACTACTTTTTGGACTCGGACTGGCCCGGTGACCGAGGTTTGGGGCGTCGACTAACTTCACTCAGGCCAATCGGAGTTCACGATGAAACTTTGTAAACAACTCTCACGCTGTTTTAAAGCTCTTTAACCCTTTTTACAACGCAAATGCGCGACGGTGCAGCACCCAATTGACCCCAACGTTGCAAAACAGGTAAGACCGAGTGGTTTTTGTTTACTGTTTTTTTTTTTAAATGTGCGTATATGTGTGCTTTGTGTGCGCGAGCCAAACGTGTGTGTGTCCTCGTGACTCGTAGTAGTAGTCGCATCCCTGCCCTGCTGGTGCGAAACATCTGTCATGTAGTGTAACAAGTGAACAAGAAACATGTTTTTAATTAATTTGTCTTAAAAAACACGAAACGCTGCACTTTTTAAGCCTTCTTTTAACGGTAGGCTACATTAAAGTAGGCAATGCTTTAATGTATTCCACCGAATGACGTCTCCTACTAACGTTAGAGTAAAACGCTATACACTGAGACTGTTAAAATCTAATTGTCTTTTTAGCGGTGTGTGTGGTGGTTATATTGTTAAAAGACCCATTTCCTCGTTTGATAGGCATGTAAAAAGAGTTTATCATTTGGCTTTTGTCAGTTGTCACGTCCCCTTATTGAGTCTGAATCATACGTGTCGTCCTGACACTTTGTGCTCCCCCTGTCTTTTACATATTATGTGTTTTTGGTAGAAAATCAAGAGAATAAATTGATGGTTTAAACTTAATAAGCCTTTGGTTTCTTTTTTTCTGGGTTCTTCCAATGAGCAGGCTAATGATGGAACAGAGTTTATTGGAAATCACTCTTCATTGGCACTGACAGAGTGAGACACATCTGTTATTGGCAACTACTGCTGCTGCAGCTCTGAATGTGTCAAAGTGCTGATGAGTGGAGGCATCACGAATCACTTTAGTGTGCAACAAGAACATGTAGCAATCCATTGACTTTGCAAGGAGACACTGACAGGAGAAAGTGTTCAATTATGTTCTAAAAGCTCCTCATGATGTAGTCAACCACTTAAAAAGTGCTAATGACAGCTGTTTTTCTTTGACTTTAGAAGTACCAAGTACATTCCCTGGAAGTATTTCTATCTCTCTCTCTGACTCATCCAGTCACAAGATAACTCAAGGATTTTAAGTTTGTGAAAAGCCCAATTAAACCATTGTTGTTTTTATCTCTGGGCTCCAGTGATGCTGAAAGTGTACTGCACTGTACAAGTGCTGTATTTTGCTTCCTGCTGTTTTACTGTTTACTGTTTTGAGCAGCCTACTATAGGCCACAAAAGTCTTCATTGTGAACGGATGTGGGCACAACTTTCGTTGTGTAACGTCAACATCTGCGTGCATCTGTATTTCCTCAGCACGCCCACCCTCAGCTGAAGGAGGGTCGAGGAAGAAGGGGGAGGGAAAAGCTTCCTGTCAGTCTGGCTGAGAGAGTGAATCCGCTTAAGTTTTGGCAGAGTTTTCGGGGGGAGTGACTTTATGAAGGCTATCAAGAGTTCTTCACTGTAACTTCTCTGGAAATGTGACTCTTTCTTTTGAACTTGGTTTATTTCATCTTACGTGTACCGTTTTCTTTGTAAGGGGGTTTCTATTTGGCTGTAATGTGTCTCTGCTTGAGTAAAAACTTAACAGGTGGCATTTATTCTGAAAGTCTTTGGACCATGAAACACTTTTTGGCTCTTGGTATTGTTTTGGATGAAACCTGACACTAGCAAAGAGGCTCAAAAAGTAAGCTGTGAGCTGTAGCTAGATGATAATTCACTTATATTCCTCATCTAAAAAAAACCCATACTTCACTCTTATGTTCAACACGCGTCACATAGATTTAAATGAACTTGGTGGATTCTGTATTATGTAACAACACCTGAGCTGGCAAGAACACAAACATATTGAAATGAATATGTTTAGATGTACTTATAAATACAATGCATATTGATTTTGTGTGTACATTTTTACAACACTGTTTAAGTTCAGCAAATAATTTTGAATTTAAACCTGCGTGTCAATGATCTCAAGTGATGACACCCTGTTTGTTTTGATGTTGTCACAGGAAACCTAGTTGCCTTTTTACATGAAACATACTGACGTCATCACTTCCTGTCACGTTTCCTAGACACAAACAAGGCGTATGTCTGTCGTGACAGACAGATGGCAGCGTTTTGGTGGTTCGGTTGCTTTAAATGCAGAAGCTGTTCATGTTACAGGAATACAGAATAGAGCCTAATACATGTGAAGAAAAAAGTGGTTAAGCTACACTGAGGGAGAACAAAACATGTAGAGTCGAGCGAAAAAAACGGTTGTTCATGCAGTCAAGTTTCAGTATCAGAACAGTCGCAACAAAAGACTACAACAAAATTGTAATAAATTGCCACTGGAAAAAATCATGCTTGTTAAGGTGGAAAATCACTTGTTATTCATCAACAAATACATTTTACATTCCACTGGCGCAGTGTAATGTTTTATTATTTCTTATTTATTTGTATATGAATTGCATTGCATCACTTTCATTCCATAACACCAGGTAAACAAGACTAGCTTTACATCTCAATACACAGTAAACTAAAGGGTACGTAACATAACGTAAAGCAGAAAAAAGTCTCAATTATGTTTCTATGTTAGCTAGCTATATGCTTATGCCGTTAGCAAGGAAATGTTAACATTAGCAAAACAAATAGGGACAATCTAAATGTTAGCATTTCTGCTCATTTTAAACATTAGTGTGCTAAAAAGATTAGCATAGCAAGCAAATCAGTTTACATCCACAAGTTATCTGCTTTGGCCTAATGTATACATGTATGAGTTACAGCAACGATATATTAAGGTTGTATTCTTTAAATTGTTGCTAGTAGTGGATTTTTTCTGGATTATTCAAATGAATAAAGGCATGATATCTGATCTTGATTGTCTCTGGCGTAAACACTTTCAGGTGTGAATCCCTTCTACAAGTTCACAACCCAAAAGGGTTCGCTAGAGGAGTTTTAGATCCTGGAGCTTTGCTGCAAGACACAAAATGGTGTTATTTAGTTTTATAGTGGCAGCATTTATGTCCAATCTTGAAACATCTGTTGATGCTTAATAGTTACATTATTTACATGATTTTGTCAGTCGGTTTATAGTGATTGTAGAGGAAACTTCTGTGTAGCTATGCAGTGGGAGTCACCGACTCAGGAAGGAGACACGGGAAGAGCAGTAGCTTTGATGTCAAACACATGATGGTTTATTTGGAGTTAACGGCCGGAGGATTCACATCACAAGTCCAAGAGTCAGAGGTTCTGACTTCACGGTAGAGTTGCCACGTCAATTCTGAAGAACTCTACCCCCAGACCCATGTATTTAGCTAGTTCAGAGAGCATCATCAACATGCTGCATAACAAGATAGAATGATAACACCTCTATCAGCTGACGCCAACAGGCAGGAACAGGGAGACAAAACACTGAGAGCACAGCAGCCAAGGTTACAGGTGCCTGTGCTCAGTCAGGACAGTTTGAACTGATACACTGGGTCAAAGTTATGGGCCTTGGAAAATATTCCACAACAGTGATGACAATCAATGTTCTGGGTATGTCTTCTCTCAAGTATTACATGCCTTATTTACGCTTACACTTTATTTGATTCAAGTCAATGTTTTTTATGAATGCTTTATTTGTCACCCAAGGGAGGCAAGTAAGGAGGGCTTATCCCCCTCTCCCCCTTCCCCCACACCAGTCTCAGAAAGCTGAGATGATGCAGCCAAACCAATTAAAGATGTACTATTTTCTTGCTTGCATTCCGCCTCACTGTGTAGGACGTGGGATTGTGCACAGAGCCTGCTTGAGATGCAAAGAATACACGCAATGATGAACCGTGTGCCAAACAATGAAAGGATTGAAAAGTGAAACAGTTCTTTATGTATAATTCTGGCATGTTTTCATCGCAGCATCATGAGGAGGCAGAGAAGTGTCTGATTGTACAGATGTGTCTACTTTAGAACTGGTCCAGGGTCAGCTTTGAGATGTTGCAGCTGCTCTGCAGAGAGAACACCCTGGCTGTGTGATGCTGATCATGCCAGCTTAAATACTGCAGGAAGGCAGCTACATGGGTGAGGCACCAAAGCATCAGTGTGAAATGGTATCGTATTTGACATATTTTCATATATAAATGTTTCCGTTTCTATACGTCTTAGACTTCAATAATGCCATAATAACATTCTTAACATTACGTGCCTTAGAGCAGCAATTTCTCAAACATGATTTCCAACAATTTGATTTGATTGATCTTTACTGTTGCAAGAATATGTGGCCTTTGCAAGCCACGAGACTACTGCAACACTTGTATTGCTGTTTTCTTTGTTTACTCTAATTCGCAGCGTTGCGTTGTTATAAGTGGTACACCGTGTGCCACCGCCTGCTCGCTAAGGCTTGTCATGTTGTGTTTTTGAAGTAATCAGTGAAGTGGAAACATTTCTTCTTTTGTGTTGTTGTGCGGTCGTCTTTACTGACAGGCTGGCTGCTTTAGTCAGTATACAGTAAGTCAGAAATGACATCTGTTTTGAGACACTTTGTGTTTTGGTGGGAACATCAGCTGCTGACTCAGCAGTGTGGTGGCATTTAAAATCCCCCTGTGTGCAACGTATACTCGAGAGTTATGTCATGAAGTGTGATAGAAAAACGTTGAAGGTGGTTAGCTGCCACCTCTTGAACACATTTGTTTTTAAAATCAAGCTGATCTTGCAAATATGTTTGACATCTATCAAATACATGTAGATGCATGCAGTTACATTAATACACATATGATATATCATATTTGTAACAATAGCACTCCCAAGAGGGACAGTTTTACCCTTTCCAATTCCGTTCAAATAAACCCCATACCGTATCTTTAGTATATGACTTTTCCTGAAATGGGTCTTTTTATCATGTAATTAAAAAGTAGGGCTAGTGGGATGAAAAGGAAACAAAATATGACTGTTTATATCAAAGAACATGAGTTTTAAATTGTCATTTTTTTAAGACATAGGCCTACTTGTAATTCCAACTAGAGGAACATTTACAATTGTATTCTTTCTAGAACTAACTCCCTGCAAGTGCTGACACTGTTAAGATAGGGGTTTAAAAATGAACGCCCCTTGATATTCCCTTAAGAATTTCTAAATTGTATTAGTATTATGTTTTTGAGCCATGTG